AGAAACATGGCAATTCAACATGGTGGATTCCATGAATTGTGACCTGCAGGTAACAACAAACAACGATTCCTATATTCAGGTAATTATACACTAATACAAACATAGTTATGCATATCATATTCCATTTTAGATACATCAATAGATCCTCCTACATGTTACACACTAGACCTTTAATGGGGCAATTATTGATTGCTTCTTGATTTATAAATTCTGTTTAAAATCCTTTCAGTAGTGAATACTTCCACTTACCAAATCACGTCAACAACTAAATCAAAAATGAAAAAAAGATAATTGTAGGACATTTTTAATCAATCATCTCAAGACAAAACAAATAGCAGAATAACTGGCCACCTGAACAGTAGCAAACAGAGACACAGGTTGTTTAAATATGTATGCGTTGGTCATAAAGTGTGCCTCTTTGTCTTTGACAAAGCTGCGAGCTGAAGGACAAAATGAGTTCAATACAGAGACAATAATTGATGAAAAATGAAATGAGTCTATTGTAACCTGAAACAACATCAGTAAAAATCAAAGATATAAAATTTAAAGATGAATTTTAAATGTAGTGTAGCCTGTATGATGCATCATAGTTGAGGAGTTTTCACAAATAACCCCAATATTGGTGGTGAAAACAAGCATTGAGAAATATTATAATAGTTGATATTTTACAACAGAGTTCATCAAAAGAACAGTTTGGGTTTTGGTAAAAAAAATCAGCAGCTGTATTTAAGTTCTGTATCAGACCAAAAATAATAATATATTCCAATCTCTACCTTAATTCACCAGAATCTTATTAATGACTCAAACTTGTCAGAATACACCATCTGCTTCCGAGTTACTAACTATAAATCAATCAATGTAAGACTTCATGTACAAAGTTCTTTATCAAGACTATAGCCTGTAGGTTTAAGACTGTGGAACAACTTCTATTATATATTATTTTTATCATATAGATATATATGAGCAAAATATGACCTTATGTGGGTTTATTATTATTATTAATTGGGTTTAATAAATTAAATGGTTAGCTCGTTCTATTTAGTCAAAATTAGAGATGTTATAGCACTAGCTAACAAGTGAAATGAAATAGGTGGTGCTAGAGGCTTAGTGGCGTACTGACTACTCGCAGGGCTAGTTGGTAAACTACTGTATCTGGCAAGCTTGCAACACAGGTAATGAGAGTCCCTCAAGGATTTTGCAGGCTTTTTGGGGGGGATTGTTGAGGTCTAAAATGCCTGACTTAAGCTACTCTTAAAAATTGCGATACACACAAATTCCGTTTCAAAGTGAAAATTCAGAAAATAGTTGCAAGTTTTTTGAAGGCAACTTGTTCCAGTTACAATGGTAGTAGTGACATATAGCTTTGCACGGGGGACTGCTATAGTTTATAATTTGTGGAAAAGTTGCAGTGATTGGACAAAATTGCAAGCTTGCAGAATTGACAGGGAATTGGTTGAATCTCTGTTGAGATCACAACTTCCTGGAGTGACTCTAAGAGGCCATGATAGCTTCCTCTTTTTTGGACTGTGTGTTCCCTTAAAGGTAAGTCTGACATTGGTCAATGTTAGAAATTCATGTTCCCCAAAGATAAATGCAATGTGAAAGATTTGTACGGGTAATTGTGTTGAATAGATTGAAATATCTTGATATTATGTATTTATTTTTACTAATTAAGCTACTGTAAATGCTATTATAAGACCTAGGAGATTACCTTAACACTCAGTGAGTTTGTATTTTTAACGTTATTCTAATAGTGAATTTTATGAGCCACTCAGTTACCGATACGTCAGGCTTACAGGAGATGGTTATCCAACACCCATCCACAGAATGATGACCTTGGAATCAGGGCTACGATTTGATGAAACCCATTTACATTTCACATGTGAGCTGAACAATACAGATGTGGAGTTTTACATTTTTATTTAATGGAAACAAGGTCTAAGTCTTGGTGACAGAACTTTAAAGGCAAAATTTACAACCATTCTCCACTAATAGATACCAGAACGCAGACGAACCCAAATCACAGGAGTCACATACCTGTTTCAAATCCTCTTAAAGCCTATCACACTAACCAGGACTATCTTACTGTAAGTTGGGATCAATTGGAGTGGTCCCCCAGTGCTGGAAAAGCTTATCAAAGAGTTTAAAAGGATTTGAAATGAGGGTTTGATCCACTTTTGTCTGGTAATGCAATTTTGTACCTGAGATGATAAACAGATTGCTGAAAACTTCATAACAAAAGTTGGATGGATGTCTGATTAAAAAAAAAACATTACAAAACATGAGAGGTAATCATTTTCAAAATACATTGACAGTGACAACAAAGGCAAATGTACATAAAGTATTATGTGTAGTACTACAAGCTAGGAAAAGGTGATATTAAGAGAGTCTGGGTTGAGGGGAGATGGTTGAGAATCAGACATGGACAAAAGCTCAACCATCATTTCAAATATATCTGGACTGAATAAGCATTTTTGCTTTTCATCCATAAAAATAATAGTTATTACATTATATATGAGACCAATAGGGCCTTGAAACTCTAAAAACTTCAAATTTCTATTCTGATTTTTTCCATGTCTGTTAGGAACTACACTACACAGTCATATTTTATCAAGAGCTGTTTCAGTCTCACCTTGGATGTTGAGACATCCAATTTGTTCATCCCATTATATTAAAAATCTAAGCACAAAAGATGTGCAGTATTTCTTCTTACTGGCAATATTTTGAATATTTTCATCCCAACACAATTGTATACCCAAATTCAAATGATAGTTATCACTGATCCTTCAGACTATAAATTTAGATAATTACATCAACCCCTTTTAAATTAATTTTGTATCTTTGGGGAGATCTTTACCCACAAAGAGTAAAACACTACATTTCAACCATTTTTAGTTATAGCATCAAAATACATTGCTGTTTGAAGATGCATTGAAGTAAACTGAGACATTTGTTTTATCCTTTCTGGTGCATGAAATCAATGGCCTGTAGGAGACAACCTTCCTCAATTCTACAAGTCAAGTTGAAGGTTGCTCAAGACCAACCAAGCTCAAACAGATATTTGATGAGGAAGAGAATCCCATCAGAAGCGCTCATGTTGATGTAAGTAAAGGTCAGAACGGGCTGGAAGCAATAACTGTCACACATGGAAGTGTCAGGAGCAATGGCACCTGCAATTCACTCGCCCATGGGTAAGGTTACTGGATCGCAGTTTCTGAAGAATGACATAAGTGATAATCAATTGCCAGTTCTATAGCACTCGGAAGACAAGTCAGACTATGTTTATCGGCACTTTTATACAGAATTATGTGACTAGCTAAATTATTGTTGCATTGTTGGCTGTTATTACATAACATGAAGACCCTCTTTCATCAAAGCTTTCAGAAACTGTAAAAGTTCAGAGAAGACGTTGATTTGATGAATCTTGATGCATTTAGTGCACACCAGGCCCTTAAGCATATGGCAAACATACGTGCAGCTAATGCTTCCAGGGCGTTTCTTCTGTAAGAGTATCAGATCTTAGGTACGACTCCAAGAACAGGGTTTTAGGGACCCTCAAACTGTTATGGGCCACCAGGTTCGTGACAAACTAGGCTAACCTTGTGCTCTACTTTGACCATAGTCACAGATTTTAGTAGCACCCTGAAGAAAACCAGAAATCCTATCCCATCCCCCAATGGTTCAGAGTCAGAGGAACATATTCTCTGGCCACCACGTCCATACAAGACCCTTGGACACAGCCAGTACAGACCCACTGATATCTGAAATACAACTAGGGATGATCACTCTATCATTAAGGGCAAAAAAACACCTAGAAAATATTTCAGACTTGCCAGCTATGACACTGTCGCACATTCTCAAATTTCTTGGTGCAACTGACTCACGATGGACCACAGGTGAGGTTGTGCTCTTACGTTAGCTGGCTGTATGATAAAGGTCCAGCAGAAGCTAACCAAGAGATTGACAAAAACTGGCAGAAATAGTGTCATATACATTTTTTTCACCCTAAGTCATTTTATGTGTGCTTGTGTGTATGTGTCATTGGTTGTTGAGATAACCAAGCCGTCTGCAGAGTATCTCAAATATCTCAGCAATACAGAGAAGTATGGTGATCACAGTGAAGGTGTACATCGCACTGAGGAAGATGGTTTTTTCAAAGTGTTCGGGAACCATGCACTTAGTCACGTTAAAAGTCTTTTCCAAAGCACTGGCATCACACATGTACAGCGGGTGGACCTGAGGGAAAAAAGAGAAACACAAGATGGTAATACTTTCATTGTACAATACTTAAATGTCCCTCTGATTTATATAGATGACACTCGGCATTTCTTCTGCGTAATATTCAGTCTTATTATTGAATGATACTCTAGTTGGATCCTACCAAGTTGGGTCCTAGCTGTAACTAGCATGTATTGGACAGGATCACAAACTCCAGAGCAGCAATGGCTGCATTCAAAATTAAAATGTTCCATGTGAATCTTGACCCATACTGACAATGGGTGTGTAACAGTATCAGGTATTTCATCAACACAGTAAAACTTCTCCTGGCACCTCATGCTCAAAGCTACTATTTTGAGTTGTAATATGGGGTTATTTTGCAAGGTTTTGAAGGAAACAGTTATTTTCCAGGTTTCATCTTGAACAGCAAAGAGCTTTTGGGACACCATCCAGCTGGCAGAAAAACGAAAAAGTAAAAGATCCAACTGTGGCCATTTTCCACCACCACTAGCTGATATCATGGACACCAGACGGTGAATGCATGGATTTGTAGTACCCTCCCATCCACCTCTTTGGATGACCAAGCTTATTCATTGTTCATTGTTGATTCAGAGAAGACACCAGTGATTCTCTGCACTGAAGGCTTTTCTTGCTCTTCTGCCGGCTGACTTCGTTAAACGTTATATGGTTTGTTGATCTGATTGGTTGAAATTAACCCATGGGAGACGGTGAAAGATAAATGGTTCATTCAGTCCCCTGACAAGTATTTTTTGAAAGTGCCTGCCATTTTCCAAAGACTTCCCAGATGGTTCTGTTACAGTAAAGTCAGGTGTTCCCCGGTCCGATTTCTTCAAAGGTGTTCCAGGTATACGAATAGGGAAACCTAGCAACCTGGGACATGCTGGAAGGATTACATCTCCTGGTTGACTGAGGAGAGCTATGGTATCCCCAGGAGCAACTTTCCCCATGAGAAGGTCGCACAGTAAGGGGTACTCTTGTGCACCCTTTTGTTAGAATGACTGTAGATGACTAGATAACTCCAACACAGAAAAACACTCAAAAGAGTTCATCAAATTTTAAATCATTAGAAAATGAACATACCTGGAAGCCAAAGAGGTGACTTTGTAGCCAGAAGGCAATGACTTCAAGAATGATGCGCAGAAGAACAGAAATGATGTAGAAGACGGTGTAGATGGGTCGTTCAAGGATCTCTTCCTGGTCAATGTTCTTACAGGCTGCGTAGAGGTGGAACACTGCCCCAGGAACTAGCACTGTCACCAGTTGTAACGCCCAAAACACCTGGAGTTGGCAGGAAGAGGGAAAGGGAGGAGTGAGAAAAGCTAATGGAAGGAGACAATAATGGAAGACAGCAAGAAGTGGAGTGGATGAGTGAAGGAAAAACGTTTTGGGCTAATAGGGATAAAAGGAAGGAAAAAGTTTGAGAGAAAAAGCAAGAATATATAAAGGAAAAACAATATTTGTAGATTCATTTTTCATCACTTGACATATTGGTTTTAAATTGGCCATCCAGATGATGCAGGTAAATAAAATATGGTGTTTGTGTCTTTGGTAAGTGAGGATGGCAGGAACCCAGCCGAGTTCAATGATTGCTGAAATGTTTCACCTGCCCAGATTGCATTTTCTACCAATAAGGAAAAACCATCACGCTGATCACAGCCTGAGACTATTTTCTGTTTGCAAATTATTTTCTTTGACTGGACACATTGTCCCTAAAGATGTATATATATTATATATATGTATATACGATACTGTGTCTTCTATTTTCATTTGTTTGTGTTAACTATGTTCATTTCTGAGCTATCGTATGTAGCTGTAGCTATAGGGAGTTTAGCTATTCTTATTTTAGCATACTTTAGCTCATTATACCGTAGTTATTGGAAGACTGGCATGGTTGCACCAGAGGGTTTTAGTCCTGTGTAATTGGGTTGTACCTTTTAGCCAAATAGCCTGAAGGTAAACTTTGGTGCTATGGGTCTGACTTAGATTACTTTATCTTAAGCAGAGTTTAGCTTAGCTTATATTATGGGTCAAATTTTTGTTTAGCTACTTAATATAATCCAAAATGTTCAATTTAATTTAGTTCTACCTGCAGAGTTAGCATCTGATATCTATCTACCTAATCATATCATCTCAAACATATTGCAATTTCTTTACTTGCTTATTAGTTACTTCTTTAGTCACTTATTCGCCAGCACATCAGGCGATATAGACATAGCTTAGCTAAGCCTAGTCCTATTTGTAATATCATAGGACTGCAAAGTGTCTGTGTAATTCAGGTGTACCTTTAGTTTAGTCCTACCTGAGGTGTTATGGGTCTGAACTGGTTGTAGCAGTACAGGTTGAGTTCTCGGCGATCCGGGTCGCAGCTGAAGTGCAGCGCCTCATTTCCATAGACGGCGAAGCCCAGAACGCCCAGAAAGAACATCCGCACCGAGCCGAAGAACAAGGTGTGGAACTGGCCTATCACCGTAGGAGGCCTGAGCTGGAACACACACACACGCACACGCACACACACACACACACACACACACAGGTAAGCAAGTACGAACAGGCCCAATTACACAATGACAAATGCACATTAATGTAGGCACAGACACACTCGTGTACAAACAAGCATTCACAAATGTGTACACACACACACACACAAACACACACACACACACACACACACACACACACAGACAGAGACACAATAGCTTTTGTCAGCCAGATAAATGCAGCTGTAACCGAGGCTCACTGAGGCCCAGAGCTCTGACGGCTAAAACAAAACCCATTCAGAGGAAACATTTCCCATCTCCTCTCTTCACTTGCTCTCTTCTGACACTGACATTCAGTCTTGTTTACCCGAAAAAAGCCCCCAATGACACCCTCACAAAGCAAAGAGCCTTTCGGGTTTACAAATATGTCACTTTGCTACATGAAGATGGAGGTAATGGGAGATGAGGATGAAAACAGATCAATGTCTTTCTGTTTTAAGCCTCAGGAGGAATAATTGTTCGACGTCGCTCCTGTCAAATCCTGAAAGGTAAAAAGTGTCGGCGAGCTGGGCCCCGCGTGAGAGAAACAATACAAGCCTTTGTGAACTACTTACGCATCCTTCGTAAAAGTTTTTGATGTAGTTCAAAGACATGGTTGGCCGGTCGCTCTCCGCTGTTTAATTCCAGGGCTGCTCTGGGCCCTCATGGCCGGTTTGCTGCTGGCACCAGTTAGAGGCCACCAACGGTAGGGCCACAAAATCTCCAACTGACCCCTCTCTCCCTCCCTCTCTCTCTCTCTGCCCTGAAAGCCCATGTCAATGCATATTTTTTTTGCCTTTTATCCCTCCATCAATTGACTCACTCAGGAGAAAAAGGACAACAGAAACAGTGGGGCCAACAATGGCCTGTGGGGGCATGTGGTCCCTGCATTATAATCCCTATAGAACTATGTCAGCGAAAAAACTACCTCCTGTCACACACAATGTGGAGAGAGATGGCAAACATGCAACAAAAATACAATGCACCCGGTTGGGTAAAGGAGCTCAACTGAACCTTTTCTGGTTATTTTGAGCTTTATTTTGAAAAGCACCTGTTAGAACAGATTACTTCTGATAAATCATCAACATTTAAATGTGATAAATAAATCATTTACTGTCTGAAACAAGGCTTACTTTTTGGGTTTGTGGCATTTGTTTACGTGGACACATGACTAAATCACGATCAGGAAAAGCAAAAAGTCCAAAAGTCAAAAACCCCAAAAAGCACACACCCTGCACTGCAACCAGTTCTGGAAGAGCTGCTGTTGTCCCACACACAGTCCCTGGGACCCCACCAACACAGAAAGAAAGCCCCTGATCCAAATTCAAACTCCAAAAGCCAAAACTGGACAAAGTGAAATAAAATGGAAGTCCACACACCAACCGTAATCCAGGCGGCGTGTTGTTCATTCCCCCCTCTTTTTCCACTCACAGTTCCTAAACTCATGCCAGTTGCGGGACCTTGCGGGACAGAGAGCAGAGTCAAGCCCGACGGAATCAGATTGGAGCACTTCCGCTCGCAGATTTCAAAATAAACACAGGAGTTTGACAAAGAAGAGCCTGAAACGGGAGAGATGAACAGCTGAGGAAGAGGAGGAAATAAGACAAAGAGTGAACGATCCCATATGATTATGTTTAAATACACATCAACAGATCGATGCCGCTGTTTAATATTAATAAAAGAAAAATAAAGTATGTCTCTACGATGTAAAAATAATGACATATGCATACAATAAATCAATAAAGAAACATGGGTAAATGTTTAAAAAATACATATTATATATTAAGAGATCGAAGCTAGAATAATTAGGCCTATTACAAATCCTCCAAATGTTTTTAATGTTTTTACAACAAATCAAAAACTACAGTCATTACAGACAGACTATTAGACCAAGTGTTAATTTGACTATATTTGATGCTCGCGCCCCTTTCACAGTAAAATGTTCGGCACAACAGAGGATTATTTTAGTGTCATGTAATCATCGTTATGGGGATTTCGTGCTTTTATTTTGAAGGTTCGGTCACATAGCTACTAACTGTGTCTGACTTGACTCTGGCGGCCAGCGCGTGCCGGCCTGGCTCGTGCCGGCTGTGCGCCCCGCAGCAGCGCGAGCGGCTCTGTGCGTAAAAGCGCGATGACGTCACCAACCCACCACGACTGCCAGGTCTGATCCCAGGTCAGCTGATCCAGGTGTAACAGAGGAGCCTGAAGACCAACGGTAGGTTCAGTCTGACGCCTGTTGGTTGTTCATTCACTAACAGTGACTCCCAGTTATTAATGATCCATCCGAACATACATCTGATCAAAAATGACAGATTGGGGTTTTTTTTAAAGTTAGGAACTTCCTGTAGAGCAGTGACTCGCTATCAGGACGCCGCCGCCATCTGTGAGTGCTAACAACGCACGCAGAGCGCCACAATCAGCAGCTCCAGATGGAAACCTTCATCCTGAAACCTCCCCGGTGCAGGGACAAGAGTTAGACAAATGGAAGGAAGGAAAAAGTAAAAAAGAACTCATGAATCAGCCCACTGAATCCGATTAGACACCAAAAAGATCAACGAGCTGACCCCAGAGCTGTTAGAGCGGTTTCTGTGACTCTATCCCTGCCGTGTTTTATGAAGTGCTGAATCTGATGATGAAGGGCCGACTGGAATATGCAGCATAAACCAAATAAAGTTCTCGGCTCTGAACGATAACAGGATTTCTGAAGAGAAAAACAGATATTTGTTTGTATTTGTGGGCTTCCCTCCTTTCTGTTTCCCTCTACAGCCTGGCAGTGATGGGAACATACAGGATTAGAGTCCTATAGAGTCGGAGACGTGAAGGAAACCTGGACATTTAATGATACGCTGAATTAATCCACACAAAGTGAACCACTGTGTTTATGGAAAAGGAAAAGAACATGCAGGTGTTGGTGGAAGATAAGCCCATCAGTGTGGACTCCTGGATCGGGTTCGTCGCCTACCTGCAGCTCTTTAAACCCAATCACTGACACACTCTTTAAAAAACTTTAACAAGCATCTGGGGGGTATCTGAAGTGGAGTGTGAGACTGTGAGATCAGTTCTCTCTGACTGCTTTGGTTGAGCTGTGCAGTAGGAATGTATCCACTCTGTCACGTTATCCACCTTACTACGATGAGTAATTGAGCCATACTAAGAGGACAAATAAATAAATCAACATTTGTGGGAAATTGAATGTTTACTTTTAGTATTAGGAAATGTCTGTTGTATGCCTGTGCAATTTATCTGGTTTTTCACCGTGGAGAGTGAGGCAGACGTCCTCTCGATTCCTTTTGTATGCTCCTGCTGCATGTGCAAGAAATTGACTATTACAAGCTTGACTTTGACTTTTGACTTTGAAAATACAATTTTGGAAAAATCGAAAAAAAGTCGTATTATTACAGAATAATGTAATAATACAAGAAAGAAAGTTGTTTTAATGAGAATAAAGCTCGGATAGAGTTATCAAGATCTGAGGTGAGCAGCTCACCAATCAAGCAGCCTCAGCCTGAGCCCAGCAGCCGCTGTTTGTCGTTCCGTACATCCAACAGGTAAACTAAACGTATTCATCATTTCATCCTTAAACAGTTTTTACTGGCTGAGCCCAACAGGCTGACAGTTCTCATAAAA